TTTTTTTTAAAGAATAAAACCCAAAGCAGAAATTATCTGTAGAATTGTCTGTATTTGGTAAAGTGTGGATTTGGAATTTTGAGTTTTGGTTTCCCTTTTCCTCCCAGAAGTCCTGGTTCCGAAAGTAGCCAAGTTGACTTTATCCTTTTCTTTCAGAAGTAAAATAGGTCCCAGATGTATAAATGTCTAATCATTAAAGATCATCAAGAAAGTTTGCAGAATGAGAATTCAGCTTAGAGTGTTAGAGGGTTGTATGCAGAGACCTTGAAAGGCTGTCAGGTCCATCCACTGCTCAGAACAGCTTTCAGAGAAGCTATCAGAAGTGAAGAAGGGCTTATGAAGTCACTTTCTGAGAAAGCTTCAAGGAGAATTGGGAAAGGCTGAACAATATTCTTTCTGGATCACCCCAGACATTATATATATATATATGTTTCAGAGAGGAAGGGAGAGAGAAAAACATCAATGATGACAGAATCATTGATTGGCTGCCTTCTGCATGCCACTTCCTGGGGTTTGAGCCTGCAACCCGGGCATGTGTCTTTGACTGGAATCAAACCCACGACCCTTCAGTCCGCAGACCAACGCTCTATCCACTGAGCCAAAGAGGGCTCAGACCTATTTCTTATCCTCAGGGCCCAGACTTTTTTACTGACCCCTGACTGGGATTCCCTTTCCCTCCACTCTATGTTTTGGAGACCTTAAGTGGGTTCCCATCCTTCTGAGGATTTGGAAAATGCCTTCCTGTCTTCTTATGGCACTCTTTTCAGACTATCATTGTTCAAACCCAGAGACTTATGCTGTAGGTATAGAGCAGTGGTTCTCAACCTTCCTAATGCCGCGACCCTTTAATACAGTGCATCATGTTGTGGTGACCCCCAATTTCATTGTTACAAATTGAACATAATTAAAGCATAGTGATGAATCACAAAAACAATACGTAATTATATATGTGTTTTCTGATGGTCGCGACCCACAGGTTGAGAACCGCTGGTCTAGAGGATGGTTACCCACAATCCAGTTGTTGGGAGTAACCTCAAGCCTCTAGGCCTGCCCCTGAGCATTCTTAGTGCCTTCCTCTAGGACACAAACATTGGGTCAACTGCTTGCCTGTCACATAGAGGCTTGATGGGGCAAGAGGGAGGGAGGAGTTCTGTTGGTCATACTCCTAATCCAGGCTGACCAGCTACCCCACACAGACCACCTGGGACCCCAAGGCCTTGTCATTAATCTCTCCACAGCAACAGGTGCTTACGTGATAGCAGGGCCAGAACCTGGAGCAGGAGAGTAGGGTTGCAGCATCTCTTCTGAGTGGATCCCACTGTCGCGGGCAGACTCAGAGCCTGCAGTGGGGGAAGCATCTTGCCCAGCGTTGGCACACTGGGAAGCCAGCCCTTTGTACAGCTTCGCCATGGATGACCTAATAGGATGGAAGTAATCATTCTCAGAGTATACAGTGGGAAACTGGCTCTCTGAACACGCAGATTATGGCAAGAAAGATAGGGGGGAGACAATGTTTCTCAGATGAAGCTCAGCTGTAAAGTTCTCTCTCCAGAGCCCTCTACATACTCGATTGCTTACATAATAGGGTACAAACTGGATGTTAGGCAAGAGTAATGATGCTGATTAATTGGCTGAATTGAGTAGGAAAGGGATGGTATAGGGAGATGTCCTCCATTAGAGGAGCCATGGCTTGGAAGATAGCACCTTTTTCTTGTCTGAAAGTACCCACAGACTCAGTGTTCCTTATTGAGATGTGATGAGGTTGAAGGAAATCCAGGTCATTCGGAAGCTCTGCTATTGGTTGCTTCTATTCTCTCTGAAGCCCCGATTCTCCCTAATCTTCCTGTTCCTTCTTAGCATGAAATCTATTCAACCACCATCCCCTCCCTTACTTGTTTTATTTTTATTCATAGCACTTATCGGCATCTAACTTATTTTTAAGCTGGATGTCCAGGTCTAGAAAGTAAGCTCCATGTGGCAAAGATTTTTGTCTGTATTTTTTATTGCAGTATATTCTGTATAGAACATACCTGATACACAATCGGTGCTCAATAAATATCTGTTGAATTAATGAAAGAAACCACATGCTGGCCTTTAAACTGTATTTTTAAACCTGGCAAGTTTAGGGGAACAACTATTTTTGTGATAGTCAACATGAGTTAAGAGGGGGTCTGTATAGACATTAGACTGAACGTGCCTATTTTTCTAATTTCCACCAGGTAGTAGGTGCCTACATATTCTAGCCATTTTGGCTACCTCTCTTCCCTCCCCTTCTCTCTTCTACTTCCTGTCACTGCATTTTAGCCACTTAACATATAATATGGTTACTTGTTACAGACACCCACATTGTTTCTACCCTGTTCTCAGAAGCCTTTGATCAACCCTCTAGACTGCACCATCAGAACCTTACTTCTTGAGCTTTTTCCGTTTCTGAATAAGCAAATCCTCATTGCATTGAAACAGCAGGGTGTAGTGTGAGATAAATACTCGAAGGCGCTGAACACACACCAGAAGTAGGTAATAGTCAGGGTGTTCCTGCTCTGTGAACTTCAGGACGTTCTGGATGAAGGAAAAAAGGAAGCAGCATTGCATAATTAGAATGAAAAGTTGTTTTGTTTCTTCTGTACCTTGCCTTGATGTGCTGTGAGAGTTTGGTAGCCATTTACTAAGAACAACAATACATATGGCCAATCTAATTATAAGCTGAAAAGTCAAACTTGCTGTTTTCTTTGTCCATCACACCAAAGGAAAATAATAGTCACTATTGCTCTTGTTTGAGTTGGATGTGAACATAGGATAATTCCATCTGAAAAGTTGGATCTATTAATTAGATTTTTTGAGGTAATGGAGCCCGTTTTAACAATTACTGCTGAAAAAGCAATATTTATAAGACTCATAGGAGTCAGACCAGTGGTGAAAATGTGAAATACCAAGGCACTCTGGAAGAGGAGTGATGTTTATGATCAAGGCTGGCTTGGTGGTTGCTCCTATTACATTGCCTACTGTGCTGTAGTAGAACATCATGCAACTTGAATTTGGAAAAGCTAACATTTATTGAGTACTTCCTATTGCCAAGCTCTAAGCCTGCACATATATTTTCTCATTTAATTTTTACCATAGCCTCATTAGATAGGTACCATTATCATCTTCGTTTAACAAGGGAATCAGGGTATATAGCAAAGTCAGCTAGTCTTCATTAGGTTACACATCTAGTTAGTAGCAGAGCCAGGATCTGAACTCAAGTCAGCCAATAGAACCAGGGCTCTTATTTATCATACTGCTTGCAAGACCTGGATTTCGGTTCCAAATTTTTTCATCTATTAGGTGTGTTAACTTGGGCAAGTTATTTAAGTTATTTGGCTCTCCATTTCCTTATCTAAGAAGTGGTAATAATACCTATTTCATGAGACTGTTGAAAGGATTAAAGAAAATAATTACTGTGAAGAAATGATTTTAAGATCAAAAGCCACATATAATAGAAGGTCTTTTGATATTGATACTGGGCTACTTCTATCTGAGATAAATCCCAAGCATTTCTAAGATGCTTCATTGAATTACTTAGAAAGATCAGTCAGCAAATAAACCAGGATAATGAGTGGTAGGAAGAGGGGCGTAAGGGTGTTGATGAGCCTCTCTCTCAACTCTACTTCCTCCAAGGTGGACAAGTCCTGTGGGAAAAGGGTGTGAAGAAGTCAGTTCATCAGTTTCTTCATACTTCTTCTGTGACATAAGACAGAAGCAATGTATAGTGAACCCTTGGAATCAAGCCAAAAAAAAAAAAAGTAGGTAGAGTTAAGTGGGCAGGTTACATAAATAGTTCTTAGTCACTGGGGGTAGGGTGAGGGGAGTGGGGACTAGGGGACATATTTAGATGGCTGTAGAATCAAGGTAGAAGGGACTGAGTAGGTACTCAGAGCCTAGCAGGAGCTGCTATTGAAAGATCCTGGATCAGCAAAGGTGGAGATTGCTGGTAAATGAAGATAGAACATAAAAAGCCGGCATCATGAACCAAGCACGTTTAGAGATTGAGATTTTAGCTCATACCACAAGGTGGGGATGGGGAAATCATAATAATCTTAAGGTATTTAAATACTTAGAAATATTAATTATTCCTTCCTGATCCCTGCCAGTGTTTCTCAAAAGCCAAAATCAAGAGTTTAGCTTGAAAATCACTTTGGGAGCTTTCCCAGACATGCCTACCTGCAGATGTATCAGATATTCAGGGATGCGCTGGACTATATGAAAAAACAGTGTATAGATGTCAGATTTAATCTCTTCATCACCCTGAATGAAAAAAAGATAGAACCATTCTTCAATGTCCCTCCAGCTCTGGCTGCAAACCCTAGTGTCAGTCCCAGCAAAATAGAAAAGGTTTACTCCCAGAACATTTTCTTCCTCTAGACTAGAGTGAGATAAAGCATTGATCTTATTGGATAGGTCACTTGTTCAGGACATGCTCAAGGAGACAACTCTTCTCTAGCAGGGAGGGTATCATATACTTCTTTTGAATCCACCCAACTTTCCAAACTACCCCTTCCATACCACCTCCAGATACTAGCACAGCGCTATACAAAAGTGGGCATTCAATAAATTATATTTAAGTCCTAGCTGTTTTGACTCAGAGGATAGAGTGTTGCCTGTGGACTGAAGGGTCCCAGGTTCGATTCTGGTCAAGGGCACGTACCTCGGTTGCATTCTCAATCCCCAGCCGTAGTCAGGGTGCATATGGGAGGCAACCAATCAATGTGTTTCTCTCACATCCATGTTTTCCTCTCTCTGTCTCTTCCCCTTCCTTCCACTCTCTAAACACCAATGGAAAAATATCCTCAGGTGAGGATTAAGAAACAAACAAAATTATATTTAACTTGAATGAATTTATTAAGGTTCTACAAGTAATCATTACAATGGTTTGCTAGTAAGCACTAGGGGTGGATTGGAGTCTCATGAGAGTAGGTAATGGGATGTGATTAGAAACTGGCTAGCTGGCTTGGCAGCAGGAAACATGTTGGACTTTCTCCATTCTTCTTCCCTTCCTTTCCCTTTCTCAAATATTTTCTGAGTACTAACATGTGGTAGGCATTATACTGGGTTGGGAGTAGTGAGGTAATATAGAAAATTAAGACCTCACCTCTTACGAAACTTGATTAACTCTTAACTTTAGGGCTTCTGTTATGGTTTCTTCCTATTAACCTAAAATAACTAGAATTATTATATACTTACCAGTATATGTGCATGTTGAGCACCTAATATAGCATTATATTAGCAATTCTTTTTTAAAGTACATTTTTATTGATTTCAAAGAGGAAGGGAGAGGGAGATAGAAACATCAATGATGACAGGGAATCATTGATTGGCTGCCTCCTGCACACCTCCTCCTGGGGATCATGCCCGCAACCCTGGTGGAATTGAACCCGGGACCCTTCAGTCTGCAGGCTGACACTCTACCCACTGATCCAAACCGGCTAGGACTACATTAGCAACTCTTAAAGCTACATGACTAGAATCACTTTATAATCTTAGAAACTGACAGTTACAGAATGACTTAAGTTTAATATTTAGATTATATAAATTCAGATTCATATTATCTAAAAACAAAACAAAACAACCCTCATATAGCATGCAGGCTGTAGCTTAGAAAACCTGTTTATTTTGCCTAACTGCCAGTGGAATGGAACAGAGGGTCAGCAAGACAGGGAGGGCAAGGACCAAAGCAATGGTATTGATCCTTGAGTGGGCTTCTTTAACCCCAGGGAGGAGTGTCAGTGGCTCTGTTCAAACCATTCCCAACCTGGAGGACAAGCTCTGAGTGCATTTTCTGTATTTCCTGGGAGGATGAGCAGCATCATATAGTACACATGTAACCAAAGGGCAGTGCACAGGTAGAGTGAACTTACCTCCTTCAGAACAACAACATGAACCAAAGAGATGCATTCAGGCAGGTCCCTCAGGTAGGCAACATAATAATCCAAGAAATTATTCTTGAAAACAAATATAAAAATGCATGGTAAGAACCTGAAAACAGGAATGATAACTATTTTTTAAAGAAATAAAAAGCACTTTGCAGAGATTTAGCTTAATTATTTGTTTAATATGTTCATTAATATGTTTTTGGTTTTTATTCATCTTTTTAAAAAGATCTTTTTGGTTTGAAGGTAGATATCCCTATGGACTTGGGAACCAAAACTCAATATTCCTACTTTAATGAGAGAAAATGAAATGATAAACCAAGGCAGAGAAGAGGAATTACTTAAGTTGAAAAAGTATTTTTAAATTGCTTAATGACAAAAATGCATATTTTGTTTTAAAATTACTTAAAATTTTTTTTTATTTTTTATTGTTGAGTTGTCCCCCATTCTGCCCCTCCTTTACACCCAGCCCGCCCCACACCTGCCTCTGGCCATAACCACACTGTGTTCATAGCTATGCATATATGTTCTTTGGCTAATCTCTTCACCTTCTTTCATCCAGTCTCCTAAAATTACTTTTAATTTCAATCATCTACATCCAAATGAGGAACTTTGTCCAACCTACTTCACAGTGGCTAAACCAGTGGTTCTCAACTTTTTCCCACTAATTGCATGTTCACCTATGCAATATGCCTTCAGGAAAACAATTCTCAGCTTCCAAAGTTATATTCCCACAGAAATAACAATTCTCAGCCCAAGAAAGCATACCAAATACAAATGAGTAAAAATGATATGGAAAAAAAATCAAACAAACAAATCTATACAACTAGACAATTTGTAAACTTTGTATTATTATCCACAATCCTTGATTTGACTGCAGGCAAAATCTGGCTTGCAGACCAGTTTTAATTATCCCACATACTGTTTTTAAGAAGAAAATTTCACACAAAATTCTGGATTTCCATCTGCTCTTAAAATATCAGATCTGGCAACTTGAGTCTTTTTCCCCCTGCATAATAATTGGATAAAGGTGAGTAGCTATTCCTTGTAGCAAAGCATATGTGCTCCACTTAAACTCACTTCCCAACAGTCCATATTGTATTAAACTCAGCTTACTTCTATTCATTTATATCACTGTCTAACTTTGTAGGCATTTGAGTTTGCAACTTCTGGTCTGGATCATATTTAATTTGTAGAACCACATAGAAATTTAAAACTTAAGACCCTCTCCAAGTGAAAACAAAAAAACATTCCAGACAAATAGCTGCCCATCACATTTTTTCAAATCTCTAGGGAATGAAATTGTAAGTGAAAGTACATAACCTATATACAAACCTTCACATATTTATTTTATATGTATAGATTTATATGTACATGCATATATTTCTACACAAATATATATATGTACATACACACATGCATGTTCAATGGCAGCAGTTACAGTGGAAAGTGATAAACTGAAAATGAGAAAACTTGAGTTCTAGCCACAGATCTATAACTATCTAGCTAGCTGGGTGGTTTCAGCAGTCTTAAGTTCTCTGAACTTTATTTCATTATTTGTAGAATGAGGAGGTTAGATCTTGCAGTTCCTTTAATTCTGAAATTCACTGATTTTAGATTCTCTATTAAGAGAAGTAGATGAGGGAGACATGAATATAATTCAAATTTATAAAGAATTTTTTTAAAACTTACCTCATCATTTGTTAATTTCAGGAATAAATCTCCAAGGACTCCTTGGCGTGGCCATTTCAGGACCCTTTCCTGCAGAGCATGAAGCAAATCTAGGTGCTGCTGGACAAGGTACCGTAAAGAGCCAGGGAAGAGGCTTGAAACAGAAAAGAGACAGGATCACACAAGCCAGGTGTGGAGAAGAAAAAACCCTTTAAGAATATGTGCAGTAGGTCCCATTTTCCCAGTTATTCAAACTATTCTGAGTCACAGGTCTACATTTAGGATTAAGAAATAAAAGTTTGGTCCTAGCTGATTTGGCTCAGTGGATAGAGTGTCGATCTGCGGACTGAAGAGTCCCAGGTTCGATTCTGGTCAAGGGCACATGCCAGGATTGCAGGCTCAATCTCCAGTGTGGGGCTTGCGGGAGGCAGCTGATCAGTGATTTTCTCTCATCATTGATGTTTCTATCTCTTTCTCCCTCTCACTTCCTCTCTGAAATCAATAAAAATATATTTTTTTAAAAAAGAAAGAAAAATGTGTCTTTGTAGACCTGACAGCAGATATCTTCAGGATATAAAAAGGCCCCTTTCCTGATGGCTCCTATACTTTTGTGTGTTGAACCGTGTTACAAGGATTTCTTCTACTTCTCTCTGCCGCCCCTCCACCTGCTAGGCCACCAGTCTCCACATATGTGAGGCCAACTGATCCAGAAGCTCAAGAGAGGAGGCCTCCTGATCTGAGCTCTTAGGCTGGTGCAGTGGACTTGGAAGATCTAAGTAATCCCTGTCCAGAACAGAGAGATTTGGACGGTGGCCCAGAGACAGCTGGACTGGGAGAAGACTGTAAAGCTGATGGAAGAAAGCTCAGCTGATTGAACTGAAAGAATGTAATGCTGCACCAGCAAGAGAGTTAGATAAGAGTTTCTCCCCACTGAGAGGCTACCAATGACTTCAGGTAATAATAATGATGGTGTGACACTGAAAGGTGTTCGGGCACGGTGATGAAGTCAGTCTATGGGATGGGTGTCTATATAGGTTATGTAATCTGTCTTGTATTGGATTATTTTCTCTCTCTCTCTCTCTCTCTCTCTCTCTCTCTCTCCCCTTTCCTCTCCTCTCCTCTCCTCTCCTGGCCTCACTGGGACTCTCTTCTGCTCTGCCTTATCTCAGTCTCTCCTCCTCTCTTTCTGCCTCCCTCCTCTTCTTTTGAGAACACTGCCTTCTGCTACACTGTGGCCAGTGTACTTGCAGAGTTGGAGAGCTGGTAACTTGGTTGGAGTCCAGGATACCTCCTGGACTGTCACTGGGATAACAGTTGAGATTTCAGGGTGGGGTCAGAGAAGGCTAATGCTCCCATCAAGTATCATGGAAACACATAAGTTACATGAAGAGCAATGACCTACAGTGGATTCTGTACCAAATATTGAAAACAGGCCTTAAAAAAAGTTTTTTTAATTCAATAAGGATATTATTTGAAATTAGGAAGTAATGTGGAAGAAGTGAGCCAGGAGATGAAGAACAGAGGAAGAAAGAAGGCAAAACATACTGACCCTACTTCACTGTTTTGTATAATCCAGACCTCACTCCCAGAAGCAACTTTTTCATGATGATGAAAGTATTAAGTGCTCAACTTTTTTTCTGTTCCTTACTAGGAGTGGAATTATGTAAACATAGTAGTTAGCATATTCTTTTGAAAGCCTCCAAAGTTACTTCAACTCTCACAGTCCAGTACTTAAATAATGAGGGAAATAAAAGCAATCAAGGGAAATCCAGTTATAGTTTCAAATTGATAAGTTAGCTCTTAGAGTTCAGTATTAGCCCAAATAACTCCTGAACTTCCCCAGCTGGATATAACCAAATTTGATAATTAAATATGTGCCATTTTATTTGCAGATGTCATGATATTGTACATAGAAAACTCCATAAAAAAACTGCTAGACTTAATAAATGAATTTGGCAATGTAGCAGGATACAAAGTTAACACCCAAAATCTATGGCTTTTTTATACACTAATAATGAACTCACAGAAAGAGAAACAAACAAACAAAAAAAAATCCCATTTACTATTGCAACAAAAAAATTAAGATACTAGGGATAAACTTAACTAAGGAAGTAAAAACCTGTACTCGGAAAACTACAGGACATTGAAAAAAAGAGATAGAGGAAGACATAAACAAATGGAAGAATATACTGTGTTCATGGATTGGTAGAATCAACAT